AAAAACTGATCACAGTCCTTTTCATAACAGGTCTTAACATACTTGAAGACTGTTATCAAGTTCTCCTTGGTCTTCTTTTCTCAAGCTTAAACATGCCCAATATTTTAACCTTTCCTCATATGCCATGTTTCCTAAACTTTTTATCATTTTTGTTGCTCTCCTCTGGACTGTTCATCTTTCTCTTGCTCCTAATGTATTTAAAGAACCTCTTTTTATTGCCTTTTATCTCCCTTGCTAGATGTAACTAATTTTATGCTTTCTGATTTTGTCCTTATGTGCTTGTGCTATTCTTTTGTACTCTTCCTTAGCAATTATGCCATGTTTCCACTTTTTGTAGGGATTCCTTTTTGATTTCCAGGTCATTAAAGAGTTCTTGAGAGAGCCATATTGGCCTCTTATTATTCCTCCTATCTTTGCTTCGCATCGAGATAGTTTGTAGTTGTGCTTCTCAGTTACTGGGTAATTTCACGGAGGTATCATCTTCACACTCAAATTGTTCTCCATGTTCCTGACATTCTTGGGAGTGTGGCTTTTCCAACTACCAGTGACAGTCCAATTAGACTTTTAAAGACAGTAAAATAAAGATGATATAATTCAGAATGGTGGGATGAAAATCTGATCTCCCCTCCACCTTTACAATAGTTTGCAAAGACTAATTTATTTTTTTCCTCTTTAAAAAATAACAATGCCAGAGCACTCTCAATTAGGTGCAATATTATGCATTTCCTGCACTAAATTATTGTGCAGCGTCGCTGATCACTGTTAAACAGCTGCCATACTACAGGCTGTAGCTGGCTGTGTTTCAATGCTGGGAAAAGTAATACCTGTGTATAGGTCAAAATACAAACTTAGATGTAGCTATTTATATGATTTTTGATGGATAAAAATGCTGCTTATCCCCAAGTACCATTTGAAAATTTTATTTACTTATTGTACTAGCAAGAAATCAAGATAAAAACCTCAGATGTTAATGATTATTTATTTAAAATGGAATGAAAAAAATGAGATTATTGCACATTTCAAGAAATAAACTTGAGAATTACATTTCATATTAGTTTCTTATTGACAAAGAGCATTTACAGTAATAGCGTGTGGAAGTTATATACAACTTAGATTATATATACACATATACACTGTATATATAAACACATCTGATTTGCTGTTGCTGAACATTTCAGCAAGAATGTCAGTTCAAAATTTGGCTCAATTGTTGTGTGTCTTATTTATTTATTAAAACACAAAGCCCAAAATCAACAGAATTATTTTTATACCCTTCCCCCCACCCCTAAGTTTTGCTGTAGCGTTCTTATGGAAATTTTTAGCAAGGGCAAATTAGAATCACATAGCCCAGGAGTGGGCAAACTATGGCCCGCCGGCCACATCCGTCCCGCCAGCCAATTTAATCCAGACCTTGAGCTCCTGCTGGGGAGCGGGATCTGGGGCTTGCCCAGCTCCCGCGCTCCAGCCAGGAAGTGGGCTTGAGGGCCGCTCTGCACGCACATGCCGCAGCTCTGTGTGCCTCCCAGAAGCAGTGACATGTCCCCCCCTATGGCTCCTATGTGTTGCCCCCACCCCAAGTACCGCCCCTGCAGCTCCCATGGGCTGGGAACTGCAGCCCATGGGAGCTGCGTCTGCGGACCAGGCAGCATGCAGAACTGCCTGGCCACGCCTCCATGTAGAAGCCAGAGGCGGGCCATGCCACTGCTTCCTGGAGTTGCTTGAGGTATGTGCTGTCCAGAGCCCCCTCCCGCCCTCCAAACCCCTCATCCCCAGTCCCACCCCAGAGCCTGCACCCCCACCCCATCCGTCTGCCCCAGCCTGGAGCCCCCTCCTGCACCATGAACTCCTCATTTCTGGCCCCAAAGCCTCCACCCCCCTCCCCCCCTCGGTCCCAGTCTGGAGCACCCTCCTACACCCCAAATCCCTCATTCCCAGCCCCACCCCAGAGCCCTCACCCCTGCTGCACCTCAACCCCGTGCCCCAACCCAGAGACCCCTCCCACCTGCTGAATTCCTCATTTCTGGCCCCACCTCAGAGCTCGCACTCCCAGCCAGAACACTCAACCCCTCCTCCACCCCAACCCCAATTTTGTGAGCATTCATGGCTCACCATACAATTTCCATACCCAGATATGGCCCTCAGCCAAAAAGTTTACCCATCCCGGACACAGCCTATTGGACAGTTACGCAACTTTTTCTGCGGTCTACTATTAACAATTATGTCAATAAGAAACTATTCTCAAGTAGCATCTTATGAACCCTAACAAAGTTTTCCAAACAAAAATGTCTATAAATAGAAGCAGCTGCTAAAAGAAATAAACATCCCCCTATTGTTTTTGAAAACTACACATTCTGCAAGCTTCTGAAATACAAAACAATGAAACTAGAAACAAAAAAAAGTAAAATCAGAAAGCTCAATTGATCAACTTTTTATTATCCTTAGAGATGCAGCACAGTTTTAATATCCATGGCGTTATTAATAACTAGCAAACTACAGCAGAACCGTAGCAAACTGGACAACACGGGGCCGCTGAATACACTGTTTTCCGACAATGGAGAAAATGCTCAGTGTAACTGACAAAGGGAGAGATCCCCGATTCGGGTAACAGGCAGTGACAGATAATCCAGGTGGGGCTGGCTCTGGTTTTTAACCGTGAGCTCTCCAGGAAGCAGGCCAATATCACTGGATCTATTCCACAGAGGGGCACAGAGAGGAGCAGCGACCTTCAGGGGCAGCTCGGGGAGTAGAAGTCCTGGCTCCCAAACCAACCTATTCCATGATCCCACAGACACGCCCCACCCCCAAACAACACACAACTTCCCAGGCCAGCCCCTCAGTCCACTCCAGGGTCCCCTTTGGAGGTGGGGCTCTTGTTGGGTAGGGGGTAAGTCGCACACCCTAAGCCCCAGGCATTGCGGACGGGAGGGGAAGGGGAGACCCCTCCCCCCTGTCATAAGAGAGGAAGCAGTCGCCACCTCAGCCCCCTAGAACCTCTTCATCCTTCAGCCCCCTGGAGCTACAGAACCATCCCCCCTAACCTCTCCCTCCCCCCCGCCACTAGCCCCCCTCCTCTTTCAGTTCCCCCCC